GTCAAGAATCTGGTGAAAAATGACTAGGAGTATTTATAAAGCTCAGAGTTGCCTGTAAGCTTTGGGTAACAACACATCAAACTAACAAACAAGAGACCTACGAGGAGACGGGCGATTCTATCGTGAGCCAACCGGGCCACACCGCGGGATTAGCAGAGTAGCACTACCGTGCTTACTCGAGTTGTCATGAAGCAAGGTACGTGCTCGAACGCTGACAGTGAGATGGATCGTTTCGAGAAGTTATCAGCTCTGGGACAACAAAGCTCGTACGCAAGGGCTGCGGCGCCGCCCCGCCCATCACCGTGGCGACCAACGATACAATCGCCACAAACCCTACCTATGGATTAGTTACATTACTACTGTAAGTCACATAGAACCTTCGAATAAATACGAGCAGAGAAAAACAAAAATGGAAAGTTTTTACAACGCCATTCACAAAGCCTTGAGCCGATGTGAGTGCCCGTTAGAAAATCTTCTAAAAACCAAAGCATTGCTATAAATGCACTCCAAGTGGACACCTACTACTGATCCTTTGTAATTGGCTCAGCATCAGCTATGTGGGTAACAAGCCAAGCTGACTGAAGAGCATAACGAATCAGGAATCGTTCGCAAACTATCGACGCCACATACCACACAGGAATATATTCGAAAGTTATAAGTCCCATGAAATGATAGTGGAAATAGCTGAAATAATAATAAAGAAAAGTGGAAGAATGCAATTCAATTACTGTATTATTAAAAGACTCCTCAGCAGCCGATAATAAATCTCAAATGTCAAAAAGTAGCGTTTTTAAACGCTGCAGTACCTTTCGTAATCCCATGGGCAGGCATCCCAGCGCTTCAGAAATAGACCAGTGCTGAACTCCCAGCAGTAGCACACAAGAACGTAGATTGCCGCACGCAGAGGAAGTGGAATGATATCCTGAATTAAAAACCTTGGCCAAATGGTTTCACTTAGTATGACGAGTCATAGTGAACACATTTTGGAACGGCAAGTAACATCCATCATGTCTCAAACCATAGCTGACGGTTTGGGGAATGAGAAGGTGACGCAAGGTGAAAAATCATCGAGGTTTTCGATGATCAATGGCGGAGATTGCTGAGTCCATTCAGGCAAACAGCTGTACTCAAAGTCCCTGAGATACGGTAGGCGTGGCCGCGTACTCGGATTGATCGTGTTTGCGGCCGAGCTGGCTGAGCTTTGGGTGGAATATTTTATCTTCTGACAGTTGTAGTCACGTCTCTGTCCAACGCAAACAGGATGACAGTTGCCTCAAATTGAAATATCCCATCGGTAACCAAGCCTACCATCTTCAGATGCCACGCCTACTCCATCCCAGGGATAAGGAGCGTACATTTACTGCTCCTCTCTTACGCAATGTCTTCTGTTTTTTTTTCGGTTGAGAGGCATTCAGTGGCGAGGGGTGCGAACAAACGATTCTGAGCCTAGATGTTAAAAGTTTTGTTGACAGGAATTGCTAGGAAGGTGTTCCAGTACTTTGGCGCAAAAACTATACCCTTTTGAACCCAGGAGGATGTTAACATTCCTGAACAGTAAAGGAAATATTTGTTGAAGTTTTGTGCTTTACAAAAAATTCTGGAAAACACAGTAAGACATACCTTGAGAAACAAGTAAAGTTTCTCCAACAGCAAAATTGACAAGCCATACACAAAGAATATATACATGGATGTGACGCCTATGAGCTTGCGATTTCCATGCTCAACAGCTTCCCAAGTTGCCGTAAAGCATACCTGAAAAAACCGTCACCATGAAAAATCGAAACAAGAAAGGTAGCAGATAGTGTAATAGGTTTTTCAGCGCAAATTAAAAGTAGGGTGGATCACCACAAACCACGCAGCCCTGCGTTACTGAGTGCTATGGTGAGGGTACAACTGAAATAGATCCCTTTCAGCCGCCTTGGAGCGTAACGCCCTACTGAACACCCAACGGTCAGTGTTGCTGAAGGCCGATATGTTGCTCGCTGCTCCCAACAACACTAAGAAAACGGGTTGCACTAGTGCCT